GCTAGGTATCTCGTGTGGGTGCTCTGCAGTGAAAGCGTGGCTTTACAAATTCCCAGGCAGCTTTTGTGTTAGCTTTGTTATTTCCCTTCAAAGAGAAAATCCATCGATCACAATACTCCTGCGGCGCCAAAGAACTGCACGGACCGAGAAAGCACGGCCGGGGGCGAAGGTCCAACAGTCAGCGAGAGGCTCTGAAGCCAGTGCCTGGAAATGCAGAGCTGGAGAGACAGCACCTCAGCTTCGCCTCATTTTACCGATTCAGGGCACGGCCCAGCAACGCGCTCCTGCGGCAAAGACCACCGACTTCATGACGCCAGAGCTCCTGGTAGCCGTGGGCCACAACACCCCACCAAGAAACCAGACTCTCACCCACTGACAGAGAAGCCAAGGCTGGGACTCATCCCCCAGAGCACTGGGCTGGGGGTCCCGGCTCGGTCCGTCGCCTGGTCCCTACAGTCCCAGCAGAGAGATGTCCCAAGGGTGCCCACACCAGGGTGCCAGAGGCACCAAAGAAGGGTTGTCACCGCGGTAGAGCACTACCGTGCAAGGACACGAGAGCAGAGACAGAGGGAACGACTAGAGAAGAGACGACTGAATGACCTGAACATCTCCAGCGCCTCAGCATCGCCAGTGAGGACTTCGGGGTGGGCGGGGGGCACTTGCTTGGGTTTGGTTTTAAATTTAAACCGGAAGGAGACTTTGATCTCTACATTTAAATAAACAAAAAGGGACATTCAAATGCGATCCTACCTTTCTCCTCCTCTATTTGGAATTGGATATTAAAGCCGTGCCACGATTAAGGTCGATTTGACTTTATCCCCATCGAAAGCAACGTTCGGTGTGCGGAGGGGCACGCAAATCCGTCTCCCTTTCTGCCGCTGCTCAAGGCACAGCAAGGCCAGCGCTCAGCTGAGGGCTTTAACTAGAATCAAAACATTTTTGGAGGCTAAGAGCAAAAAGTGTTGAATCTCACCCAGCGTGCCTCGAGAACGACTAGAAATTAGTGATTTGACCAAAAGAAATAACGTGAATAATTGTACTAAAGAAAAACACACGTGTCGGTGAGAAAGTTGGTGCGCTGGCAAGACTTGAACAGGCTCAGTGCTCATCTCGGGCGGAACGGGACACGATTTCTGTCTTCTCTGAGCTCAGGTATGTTTGTACGGCATTGCCTACAGCGCTGGTCGCGCTAGTGACCTCACGGGTGAAGTTTTAACACCGCTCTCATCAGAACTCAGCCATAATTGACAGGGTTAAGAGCCTGCTCAAACTTTCTGGGACCAGTCAGCGCTGGCGTCATTTCAGCGGCTTATTTTTATGTTTTAAGGCACCCTAAAAAAGAGCAAGCTTGTGGAAGGCAAAGGTCTGAGTCAATGAATTGCAATAATCTCTTATGCCAGCTTCTCTATCCTCACTGCAGAAGCTGGAAAGAGGAGAAAGAAACTGTAAAGAGAAGAAGCTTTTCACCCGGAACATGCTGCTTTAGCAAAATCAAACCCTTTCACAGCTAGATTCTGCAAGTGAAGGAAGGCAGTGAAAAAAATACAGGAGAACTAAAAGGATGATCACCAATTTTAGTGCAAGACACACGAGAAATGAGCTGGCAGACTGCGAGCAGATCTACGCAGGAAAATCTGTGCGCGGAAAAATCTCAATACTCGAGATTTTACATGCGAGAGAAACTTTTCAGAACAGTGCACGCTGAAGATGTCATGCTCATAAAAATGTGACCTGAAAGAATTTACAATTTTTCCCATTAAAATCTCCCAGGAAAATGGGAGTGAACATCCTAGACATAGACAAGTGGGAATGTGAGGCATTAACAGGCAGCTCCTGGAGAAGCGGGTAACAGAAACCTCGTGTGGAAGTTCAGCATTTCTCCTGCACGGAAGTCCTTCCCCCTCACCCTAGCATTAAAACCGAAGATCTCAATATCACTCCAAAAGCCTCCAAAATAAGCCTCCACCGACTTTTTCCCTCAACAGGACCAAGCTCATCTGTTTTCACAGCCTTTGCCTAACGGCTGGAGACGTGTCTGCAACTACCCTGCCCCTTCAGGTGTCCCCACAGGGTACCAAGGTCCCCGCAGAATGGAGGCGCTGGCTCCTGGGGCACTCGGAGTACGAGGAACCCGAGGGCTGGGAAGGGACAGGGACTTTGCAGGAGGTTTAAGTGCAAGACGAAGCTTCTTTGCACCCCGCTGTGGACATCTGATTAAGCACCAGTAAATTGCAGGAGGGAGAAAACACATCCAGGGACTGGCCAAGGCTGTTGCAGAACGCGGGGAGGCGGAGGGGGACAGCAGGGAAGGTATCTGCTGGGTCTCTGCCAGGCTGCTCCCCTAAGCAGGTGCCACCAGCCAGCCTTGAGCCAGACACTGGGCTGGATGGACTTTGGTCTCAGAACAACCAGCCAGTGGTTGACTAATGAGGCCAAAGCACTTGACCAGGAATCAGAAAACTCCTCCCGTTGCAAGGTCTGGAAACGTGAAACGTATTTATGCCGAGCCTTCCTACGGAAGGCTGCCGGGATGGGGCCTCTTCCACCCATTCACCCGTTCTGCTCCTTTCAAAGGCTTTCTGCTGCCCACCAAGATCCTCGGTGCCCTTTTCCAGCACGCATCGAACTGGATTCCTCTGCCCGTGCTCGCAGGCAGGGTCCTGCTCCCGGGCCAGCCTGCCCTCCGGCCCTGCCGCGGGACAGCCCAGCCAAGCACCAGGGCTCCAGGGAGGAGGGGAGGTCTCCGTCCTCAGGAGTTTGGGGATCAGGACCAACGAGCAGCCTTGCTTTCCTGCAATGGCCGGGGCTGGCAGGTGACATCCCTGGGACAGAGTATCTCTCTGCTTTTCAGCCAGGTAGTGATGGTACCGGGCACGACATCCCCCTTACCCAGCTCTGCTCCTGCCGCCCTGACAAGCCCTCAACTTCCACCTGCGTAACTCGGAGCAAAGACTAGTACGGCTCAACACCGCAACCGGCCAGGCAGCTTTGGCACCGCTCAGCCCCGCTGACGGATACAGCTTCCGACAGCCTCAGAACAACCCTCGGAGACCGAGCCCACACAGAGGGACAGAAGCACAGCTGCTTCAGGGCTGGGGGAAGAGGAGCTTCGTGTCCTGCCCTGCGAAACACTGCAAGAAATGCGTCTTTACAACGTCTGAAGTGAACGTCCTGACCCTGCGGCACGGTCAGCCTTGGGGCTGGCAGCTCGGGTACGAGCTAGGACACCTCGCGCAGCTTTCAAGGGACAACCCAAGCACAAGTGTCCGAGAACGTGCCCTCGCTGCACCTTCACCGTGTCCACAGTGCATCGCAACTTCCACAGGCTCCTAACCAGGGCTGGGACCGGGGCTGATGCGTTTGCCAAACGCAGGACCCATGGCTCTGTGCTCCCAGCTCCGGGGAAAAACAGGTCTGGGAATCTGATCCGACCCTGGTGAGGAAGGAGCTGCTTTGCGGGTGCTCTCCGGAGCCTCCTCTCCTCCCCAAGCAGAGGTGCTGCTGCTCTGCCAGCACGTCAAAGCAGCTCTCCCCGTGGTGAGCAACCCGGCCTCTTTGTTATATTTAAGGAAGGGCCAGGAGGAATTCCAGGGATTTTTTTTAGCAAGATAAACAGAACTCTTGACCTCTTCCATCAAAAAAAAAAAAAAAGAGCAGGCGCTGTTCCTGGTGGGGACTGGGCTGGAGCCTGGGGATGAGGGTGCTGCTGCCGAGGGGGAAGGGAGACCAGAAGCAACCTTCCTTCCTCACCAAGGAGTTTCTTCCATCAAAGAGCAGTGAAGGTCACCAGAGGAACCAAACAACGCTCGGTGGCTTCCCCAGGGGCAGCCAGGAGGGCCTGGCAGTGACCCTGCCTGCACCTGGGGGGGGACCCCAACTCTCTCTGCCCTCTGCAGGGGGGACCAGAAGACCCCCAAGATCAGCTGGCCCCACTGGAGGGGGGGGAAGGGCTGGGAAGGAACTTACTGCTGAACGGCGGGTTCATTTCTGTCTCCCCGAGCCAGGCTCCATTTCAGGGACGCGCTCACACTCCTTGCCTCTTGCTCACCCGAGGCGGAGGGCAGGACAAGGAGGCTCGCAGGCTCCACATCCCACCCTGCCCGGGGAAGACCCCCAAGATCAGCTGGCCCCACTGGAGGGGGGGGAAGGGCTGGGAAGGAACTTACTGCTGAACGGCGGGTTCATTTCTGTCTCCCCGAGCCAGGCTCCATTTCAGGGACGCGCTCACACTCCTTGCCTCTTGCTCACCCGAGGCGGAGGGCAGGACAAGGAGGCTCGCAGGCTCCACATCCCACCCTGCCCGGGGACAAGCCACACCGCCGATCTCTCCCCGTGTAAGTGGATTCCCACCTTGCCTTCTCTCCCGTTCCCTCTCTCGCTCGCTCTCCCCCCTTGCAAAGACTAGCAGCAGAACAATAGGCGAAAGTCGAGGGATATTTACTAACTGATAATCTCCCCACGTATTGCAGCCGCCTGTTTTCTCCCGTCTGATAAAGATTTCAGAGCCAACCACTTTCACAGAACAAAGAGGGGGAGGATGTTGGGTTTGGGGTTTGGATTATTTTAATTTTTTTTCCCCCCTCCTCTCTCACTTTTAAGCACTTACCATTCACCTGCTGAGGGGAGTAGGCTTCTGATCCAGAATCCGGGGGAGAGTCGGGTAAAGTGCTGCAGAGCAATGGGGAAAGAGAAGGGAAGGTCATTTCCAACCAGCTCCCAGCACAACCGATAGGTCCAGCTTGACCAAAGCACCCTCCAGGCTCCGATCGGAAACCCCAGCTGCTCCCGCAGCAGATGCCCATCACCCCGACTCGGGGCTGCCATAGCTGTCACTGCTACCCCGCACCCCACAGCGGTTCCCTGGACCTCAGGGAGCAGGGACAGACGTTTCGTTGACCCTGCCAATGAGACCTGCGGGTAAAAAAAGCCAAACAGAAATATGTCCGTTCCCCAGAGGAAGACCGTGTGCTTCGCCACGGGTAAACGGGATGGGAGCTGGGATCCGACGCACAAAAGCGAAGGCTGGGAAGCCCACGGGATGGATTCTGCCTTGTGACCTGTACGAACCTGAGCACCACCACAGCTGCTGGCTGTATCGCCCTGGCTCTACTCCAACGTCACCAGGAGCAGGATTTGGCCCTGACTGCATAAATGCAACCAAATAAAAGCAAGGGGGACCTCTCAGCTGCCTTCTCCAAGCCCACCCACAGCTCGGGGACAGCAGGACTGGGGACCAGCCCCGTCGTGTGCGGTGGCGGCGCAGATGCACCGCAGGGAGATGGTTAGCTCCTGCATCCGTCCAGCGCAGACCCCAGGCAGCTGGGCTCTTCAGCCATTTCCAAAGAACCTCCTTGGAAATTCATTTGAACCAATTTTTCTTTTTTCTTTTCACAGTCCCTCCTCAACAGAAGCTTGGGCTTCGCACATCTTCAGGCCAGGGTAAAATTTCCACCACCTTAGCGCACAAGTAAAGGACTTGCTTGTCTCAGACATCGGTTCTTCTCTAGCAACATTTTGGAGAGCGAGTGCACAGAAGTTGAAGCCCTGCTCCAGCTAGACTGAGCCACGGTCACCGTGAGCCAAAGCTGCAGCAGAGATGGGCAGGGATGTGGTGGCTGTGGTGGCTGGAGCAGTGGTTGCCTGTGCTCTAGAGAAAGGCTCGCTTCACCTTAGCGCTTGCTGTGTGTCCTGTGAGGGTTTTTGGCAAGGAGAAATCTTGTCCGCCCATTCACATCCGCTCCATCGCCAGTGACACAGAGCCCCGGCAAGCCCCAGCAGGTTTCAGCAGCCCGGTACCTGGGCAAAGTCTGCTCCATCTAAGACGAACACAGCTGGTTTCCTCCCCATCTCCTGACACCTCGTTCCTCAGCACCAGTGGCTCTTCAGTGAGGATCCTTTCCCATTCCCTCACCTTCCACCATCACCTTGGTGGCTGCAAAATAATCCCAGACAAACCAGTGCTGCTTGGACGAAAGCTGGCCAAAAAGCAAGCGAGGCCCTTAGGGCTGCGGGGAGGAAAGGTGCTGTACACCACGCGCACGCCTCTCCTGACGGCACCCACAACTACAGCTGCAAACCAGGAAACCCACCAGGACCTTCCTGCACCAGGGGAGCCCAAGACCCAGTAAATGGGTTCTTCCTGGTAAGTGGTACCCAGCAGTAGCTGGAGAGGGATGACATAGGGTAACCCCAACCGAGAGCCCTCACCATACTTCCCTCATCCTCCACCTTCACTTGTAGCACCTTTCCACCGATGAGCATCTATAACCAGCCTTATTTCCAGGCTCCTCGCCATGCCAGCCATGACTTCATGCTATATTTCCTATGGATTTATCAGCATTTGTGCCTCAGCAAGCCAAGTTTTGGCCAATAACAATTCAGGAAATCCTGGGAGCTGGAGAAGGCCTTGCAGCAGAAAGGTGGACACTGTACAATTCACACAGGGAGGCAGCGCGGATGTGCCCAGTCCAAGGGAAGGGTTTGTTGGTATCCAACGTGTGAGATGTTGCTCCTCTGGGAAAAGCCTAGTACAACGGGGAAGAGTCATTCTGAGATACTGAAGAAATGCTGCCATCAAAGCTGACCCAGTTCGTCCACATCCGAACCAAGGTCTCCAGCTCTAACAGCAAGCTATGATCCTTACTCATGACCTCTCACATCCTGGAGAATGCCAGATGAGTGCAGAAGAACGGGATGTGACAAGGCATCAGATCATGCTCTTGGGCATGGTTCCCCCTAAGCTGCATGTAGTCTTTTGGGTACGCAGCAAGGTCTGGGAATAAAATAAGGGCAGATTTTGTTTAGATTCTCTCTTTCTGGAAGATCTTTCTAAGTTCATCCAAAGGGATGGAGCTGTATTATGGCTGAATCATCGGTTCAGTGTGCTGGAGGCTTCCAAATGTGGGAATGGCCACGCCGTACTGGCTGGCAACACTAGAGGGCATGAGGCAGAGAGAGAAAAGCCAGAGAGGAGCTTGCAGAGATGAGCAGTCCTGGGGCCGTCCTGGTCTCCTTGTCCCTTACGTCCACCATCTCCACTGCAGAAGGCACAGAGATTGGCTCCGCAGAGAGCGCATCAGGGCCACCATCACCCGTGTGTAGCACAGCTCCTCGTGGTATGACTATTTTCAACTGCCAAGGCCTCTTGCTGATGAATATGCTCCTGCACGCTTTGATTTTCATCTGTCCAGCTTCAGATCATCTTCTTGTCTCACTCCCCTATGCCTGGGGGAGAGCAGCATGGACCAGGGAGGTGCACGAGGAGGAAGAGACCAGGTGTGTTCTTCCTTTTGGGTCTCCAGGCAGTAAAGCTTTATACATGCCATCTCCTACCCAAGACACCACTGTAGGGCCATACCTGCTCAGCGTGCCACGCCTGCCAAAAAAAAGTGCTCTCTACTGACATGGTCTCTGTCTGGCTCCTTTGGCCACCGCAGATGGCAGCTGCCACATCGCTGCGCTCTCCCAACTGCCAGGGTTGTTTTCTTCCTGCCTGTTCTGGGCAAGGCTGCCCCAGAGAGCAGGAACCACATCTTTTCTCCTCCCAAGACTAATTGTCCAGTTGAGTCCATCAGCAATACTAAAACCCAGTCATTCTCTTCCCCTTCACAGGTCTGCATCCAGAGCTCGTTGCGAAGGAGTACGAATCCAGCGCAGATGCCATCTTTTTCTTCTCGAGTGGAGCGTCTGCAACACCAGGCCAAGAGACATACCTCTCTCTGCCCAATGTAGTTAACATCTTCCCCTGGGATAGTCATGGGAACATCCTGGAGACTAAATTTTGTCTTGTTCAAATTGATTCTGTGTCTTTTCCTTCTTAAAAAAACCCATACAATGCTACAATATTCTCCCATCACACGCTTCTAGGCGTGCAGCACAGATGTCCTGGTCACCCAGAGCTGATGGCTCTACCACTGCCTGCAGACATGGGGAATTTACTGATCCTCTCTAACTCAATGCATAAAGACAAGACCTACCCAACAACCTTCGAAGAAACTTCAGGACCTACGCTTGTGAAAAAACCATCTCTCTGTGAAGCAAGGGCTTACCACAGACTGACGCTGCCAGCAGTTAAGGCACCATGGGACAAGGTGCATCAACCCTCCAGGCCCCACCAGACTGGAGGAGCACTTGTCCCACCGTTTGCCCTTGTTCTGCCACCCCAACCCCACTTACCCAGGTGCGTAGGAGGCCTTGGGCTCTGATTTGATTGGAGGGACCACGTTGTTTAGGCAGTGGCCACCAAGGTAGCCCTTGGGGACCACCATGCCATTGTTGTTATTGCAGTTGAGGTGAGCACCGTAGCCGGGTCCACAAGGGTTGGCCAGAAGAGGACCGTGCCGGATTGGGATCTGGCTGCCGGGGGGAGGAAGGTGGAGGGAACCGCTGGAAGCGGGGTTGGTCACATTGGTGACGGAGCTGGCAAGAGGCGCGTTGATGGTGGTTGAGCTGGAGGGCTGGGGGTGTGCATAGCTGGCTGAAGCAGGGATGTCAGGGAAACAGCTGAGAGAGAGAAGGGGACAACCTCAGCAGCGGGACGGGACTTTCTGCCCACCCCTCCCCTCCCCAGCCATGGGGACGTGAGCCACTCGGGTGCTCTGGGACACCCAGAAAACAGCAAAACAGGCAGCATTGTGGTGGCACCAGCAGGAACGTACAGGGAGGCAGGTCAGTCACCTGAGCTGGTGGGACTGATGCAACCCCAAGGGTATGAAATCCACCTGTGGAGCTGTAAAGGCCAGAAGTGCCCAGGACACCAACCTCAAAGCTCGTGAAGATAGCAGGAGACAGCAGGATCTGCTCAGCGTGCTTCAGCTTACAGCCTAGCACAGGGAAGCCGCTTTGTCCCAAAGATCCTGCTCCCACCCTGCGGCCCAGATCACCTTGGCTGCTATCCGGGTCTGATTCCCCCCTCTTGGCCACTGTCGGTGCACACAGGGAGACCCTTCCCTTCTCCACGCTCGTGTTGCGTTGGGGATTTCATGTTTCACGCTGAGCTCCTGGTGCCTGGCTTTCCCATTGCTCAAATTAAGGGAAAAAAGCCTTTTGTGGTGCCCTCAGGAGGGGAAAGAGAGGAGATGGAAGAGACTGGGGGAATTCAAAGGCAAGAAGAGACAGGAGGAAGAACTGGAAATGAGTGAGGGAGCAAAGAGCAATAAAGAGGGACTCTAGGATGGACAGAGGCGCAGCCAGGGTACACGGTGATTTCTAAACGATTCCTCAAAATGCAGGGCTGGAAATTGCTCAACATCTCTCCACAGAAAACAACAGCGAACACCGTTCCTGCTGCGGAGCAAGGGAAGCACTTACATATCTGGTGAGTCCTCCTTGCTGATGTACTCTTCCAGGATGCTAGTGTCGATGTTAGACGGTTCCAGAGCTCCATTAATGTCGTGGCCTGCGAGGGGAGAGGAGGTGGAAGTGTGAGCCATGAGGAGGACACCAAAAGCGCTTGCTTTGCAGGTCAGAAATGCCACCAGATCTCTGCACAGTCAAGAAACTGATCTGAAAAGCTCAGCAGATCCTTCGGTTTGAAGGACAGCCATCTGTCCATACCCACCCGCATCCCAGCGTAAAACCAGGCAGAGACGGGGTGTGTGGGACAAGCCAGGGTGGTGACACTACCTGGGACGTTGGACACGTGCTCTGGCTGTGGGACACACGGGCTTCCTGGGATCAGGCTCAGGACACGTGGGAGAAGGGAGATCATGGGGTCAGGCCTGAGCTATGCAAGACACATGGCTCCATGGAGCACGAGAGCCAGGTCTTGCCCAACCACCACCAACAACAACTTGGCGCCGACGTGGCCTGCAACAGCTTTGTCAGCGAAGCTGCAAGAGCCGCTGGCCTCGCCGGGGCCAAAGGAGGGGGCCCACGGAGGGGCCCCCCTTTGCCAGCCACAGGAGAGAGCAATCCCTGCGGAGGCAGGGCTGCGAGCGTGGGCTCAGGGGGTGCTCTGGGAAAGCTCGTTTCCTTCCCTTTGGACCCTTGCCTCCACTTTGCAGAACGCGCTGGAATTTCTCCGCTGCTGCCATGACAGCTCTGGATCAGCTCCCGACCCCGCAGCAGCCCTCCTCCCTCTCCTCTCCTCTCCTCCGCGGGCAAGCGGTGGACTTCCCTCTCCTTTCTCCCGGAGGGCTCCTCCTCCTCACTCCTGTTCTGGGGAAGCTGGACCGGGTTTTGTTGACAGAAAGCGCTTTCTTTATCTGTCTCTCTGAAGTGGGAGTCTGCAGCCCTCTGGGGTCGGTGCCAACCCTCGGTGCCAAAGACACTGCCAAGAAAGTGGAAGAGAAGGCCCAGCTCCCCCCCCACACACACCTCCCCGAGCTCAGATAACGAAGACGTCCCTTCCTGAAAGACCCCGCGGCTCCACGTTAAAGCACGACGTCCCTTTGCCCAGGAGAAGACCCTGACCCCCCGCCTCCCCCCTGCAGACCATGCGCTGGGGAAAGGTCAACCGCTGAAC